CTCGGCCGAGTATGGGAATGAGGGCGCACAGTCGATGGTTGGCTTTGGGGCACTGAATGTGTCCTATGATCGGACTCACCCCTGCTAGACCAGAGTGACTCGGCCTATGATGAGAGTCATGAATTACGGGAGAAAGGGAATCCTCCTTGTATGATCCTCCCCCCGAGCTGGCACCCTTGGGAGAGTTCCGGTCCGGCGAGGGTGATGGTGTAGGGGTTTTAGGCTTTTCGCCCGCTCCTTGACGGAGGCCTTTGCTCTTGCGGTTCTTAGCCATTGCTACTAAGATAATTGCAAGATGATCTTGGTTTGAAATTTGGCTTAAAGATTTTTGAAAGACTTCCCCACAGACGGCGCCAAATTGTTTCGGGTGAAAACAATGGGACCTTGCCGAAGGTCCGACGAAGTGGAGAAGACTAGATTCGATCCAAGAAATGTTGGGCCGAAGGTTTCCTGCACAGTAAACACACGTAAACTAGCCTCGGGGGTGTTGCCGAGGAAGGCCCCTCCGATGCTCAAGTCAGTACAGTGTGTAGAAAGAGAACACTATGCAAGAGAATTAATTGCTTGAGGCTTTGCTTGAATGAATGTACAAATGTAATATTGATGGCTTTTATACCTCTTCATACATGGAGAAGTTGGGCCTTAGCCCAATCGGCTTGCCTTGAGGACTGATCTTTGACTTTAGCACAATTGGAGAGATGAACTTTGACCTTGGGCTTTTAATTGGATCATTTAATGCCTAAGTCCAATTGGACTAAATTGGACCCAAACACATATAATTGGTGTTGTGATCGAAAGGGAACTATTACCTGTCACTGAAATTAATATTTAGTTACAAAATGGAAGTATTCATAGAAGAAAAATACATGCCTATTTTCTTTGCCGCCTCAGAGTATAACGTGTCTACCTACCTACCAAAGAAAAAATAAATCATGAAGCAATAATTCATTAATTGTCATTCGTTTTATACTAGTACTATACACATACAGTAGTCAGTAGACCTACAAATAAATGTCGACTACTTCATCTGTTTCACAAATGTTTTCCTATTTTCCATAATTTCGTTGATGTTCATTTTTTTAAACTCTTTATATTTTCTTTATTCGACAATATAAATTTTTTATTTTTTTCATTCCTTCGATTCAATTAGACATGTTAATATATTTCTTTATTATTAGGTTAATTCCATTTCTTAGTAGAGCCATCGACTAGTTAAACCATATATTAGATTTGAATGAGGGTTAATTGACCCGATCCCTTTAGATTAAACATTTTTTGTCCTAAATATTTGTCCCATTTAGATGGGATCGAAATCACGACACAACTCCATACATGATCATTTCAACATTTACAACAATGAACTTTATATATTGTCTCCTACTAACTAAGGGCCTGTTCTCATTGACTGAACTCAGCTGAATTGAACTGAATTAAACTGAACTGAACTGAACTGAGCTGAGCTGAGCTAAACTGAACTGAAATGAATATTTTATAAGAGAAGGAAATTAGGAGCTGAACTGAACTGAAATGAGCTTAACTGAACTGAATTGAACTAAATTTCAACGTAAGAGAAGAGACCCTAACACAACACAACTAAACCAAAGGGTATATAAGTATATTAGGCCCAATAACATATAAAAGGGTTCAGCAAATTTATCTTCTACCAAATTAAAATCTATCCAAAATAACTTTATAAGTAAAGCAAAGTAATTAAATAAAGCTTCAATTCAGATCAGCGTACCGTGCACTGTAAGTAGTTGCTTAAGACTAATACTCTTATATTATATTGGAGACAGCATTAACTAATTTACTGCTTCATAAAACATGCAGTACAACTAGTCAACGTCATAAATCATGGACCTAATATTGAAGATTCTTTCAATAAATATATTTACGTATGTACGTTTTAATCTTTAATTGTGACCTAAATTGCATACCTACTCGAGATATAATTTGTCACTGTAAACTTTGTTCATCAATTCAACAACCAAGCTAAGGGCAACAACTTAACAATTCACATATAACTTTTCCACTCATAGAACTTGTAATATAAGTTATCATACGGGAACTTTAGTTGTTTTTGCCACTAGATCAAGCTTAAAATATTAGGTTTATAATTGTCGATCATATATTAAACATTAAGTGTCTATATATATTCTTACCAATATATATATATTAATATATACAAGTAAAATTTTTTGGTACAAAAGACTAGGGGACAAATTAGGGCTCAAAGTCAAACATTTAGCTTGCTCCATGTCATCTTAATTATATTAGTGGCATCTTGGTTTAAATAATCCAAATCTAATCTTATATTCCAACACTATATACTTCATATATATGGTGGAATATGTATTTCTGTTAGGTGCCACCTTAGATTTAGTTTAAATATTCTAGATATGGCTAAAAATTTTAAGTCTTTAATTTAAACTAATTTATCATCATGTTATTAACTAAGAACCTACTATTGTTGCCAGCCTCATTGATCTGATGAGAAGAACTACAATAGCTGATTTGGACATATTTGTTTCATCTTATTATAACTTATATTTGACTTATTTCAAATTAAGTGAAGAGTTTAAACAAAATAAATTCAAATAAGTTCAAATAAAATAAGTGGTAGTTTGTATTCAAACAGAGCCAAATTAGACATCTATAAATCAATCTATGAATTATCATGCCTTTAAATAAGATTCGACCCACTACCAAACTAGACGACATCAAAACTTGTATTTGATCAAACTCTTCTATGATATACACGCGAGTATACGAGCTAAAAAATGAATATTTTGTCAATATTGGTGATAGATTAATTATACTACGTATATAAATCTGTATAATATATTTTCTTTCTCTAGGTTGAGTTGTGTAGTTGAGAGGGACAAATTTGAATTCATTTTATCAACTTAATTTGTTGATTATATTACTTGTACGGTATAAAGTATAAACTAATATAGCAGCCTACAACAAACTTGTCCTCTTATCTACACGAAAACTTGCAAAGAAACAATATAATACATGATTTCATCTACATTGGCAGAGCTCCTAGTCGTACTTAATACGAAGGAGACAACAAAAACTTAACATCGTACCAATAAAAATCAAATAAGAAATATAATTTTATACATACATAAATACATAAATAAATACATAATGGTTGTATTAATCGTTGTCACCTTAATAAGAAAAAGGCATAAAGTAATAAATACGCAACTCAATACGAGAATTATACACGTATGAATGTTTCACGTCCATCCTCACCATCAAGCACTTACCAACTATGCTTCCATCATTAAGTTTTTGCTTACTTATAGAGACTTGATATTATCATAAGTTCATTATAAGTAAAAGTTTATATCTTTATAAATATCTACAAAATAAAATTAAAGAAAGTGATAAGTTTGTACCTTAATGTGTAATATAATCATTAATTATATACATAAGCGTGCAGGGCTAATGTATCAAAGACATGCGATCAAATTTCGCCAATAATATTTGCAATTTATGATTACCTCTAAAGATATAATGTGTTCAAGTATGTTCATCTAAACATGCCCATTCGCGTACTAAAACAAGGCTTTAAGCATCAAGTTTTAATGGATGAGGTCCAAACCGTCCAAGCCCACAATCATAGTCTCTATTCAATGGCCCATACCTCACAGTGTTCAGTTACTCTATTTCGCATAGTCCGAAACTCATTTTTGGGTAGCCCATCTCATATGGCCCAATTTCAAGAGGCTAAACTATCTCATATATCCAATTCTAAGCATTTGTTTGGCTAATTTATTACTGGCTAATGCAAAATTAATTTTTGTGATAAGATGATCATCTGAATTCACTAATCATAATAACAACAAACAGGTTCTTTGGAATTTTGAAATAATTTTAAAACAAAATCTCTTTAATCCATTTTTAGTTGATTTTTACATTATTTACAGATACAAATTTCACCAATCCCCATTGATCAAATCTTGCTATGTTTGCATCGATGCATAACTTCAAAATATTGACTGATATCGTGAATTAGAGAAGGATGATGGGTTCAGGCGTTCGCTAAAACTCAGGATATTGGTGCTCGTGCAGCTGCTCACATCTTCAGCGGGATCGGGTTCGCTATAGCTAGAGGGGTGGGGGCCCAGATTGCATCTCGGCTCCCCACCAATTTCTTGTAAATTGATTGACTTTGTAGGGTTTTTTTTTTAATAATAATAATAATAATAATAATAAATATATCTTGACCTTGTGAGACTGAATGAGACTATTTGGTACTTGTGCTACACTGCTAGTCTGGTACCAAGTACCAAATAATGTGTCCACAATTGGGAAAAGCGTGAATAACCCAATAGAGACAGACGTACAAAATCAACTGTAAAACTTTAATATAGTGATAGTAAAAATATACCATTCTCGGACAAAATTATCTTAATGGTGCAGAGTCCAAAAGGAAGGAAGCCAATTATGTCGTTTTCCACTTTAGATCCAAGTTGATTGAAAAATATATGGTGAAGTTTCTTGGGGTCCTAAAAGCCAGCAGGGAAAGAATGTGACACTAAAATGCAGCAACACCACCCACTTCAGGGGTCAGTAACAAGAAGCGCAGCACAAGGCAGCAGAAGCAGCTCGTGAATCGAGCATTCTACGTCTACAAATCACAGCCATGAGAATATCACATACCCTACTTCCTCTCTTGGAATGTCCATGAAAAACAAAGTAATGACTGCTTGGATCTCATCAGCTCAGACACCAAGCATCATCCATCATTCATGCATACCATCGTATATTCTATTATGTCGCCTAATTTCTAAGTCTATTTCATATGTACTGTTGTTATACTGATGATGGTCTATTCAGATATAAAACTGATACACGCAGGAACACGGCCTGTGTAACCCAAATTTCTTGCTCCAAATTGTTAACATAAGATTTTAAATGCAATAGAATGCTAAATTAAAATAATCTGAATAGAAGTAATCTAACCTGTTATGTGGAAAGACTGGAAATACAATAAAGAACACCAAATCCAGTACCTTATTATTTCCAATTACACTGCAAAAAAACTGTTGTTTACAGAACAAGACTAACATGAACCTTAAAAATAACAAAATAAAAATAAACAGTAAGCTGGTCCGGAGCTTAGCATATACAAGCACTGTAATCAATGAGCTTATTCGACAAAGACATGAACAAAATAATAATCTTCATTCACTAATGGTAATTTGTATAATAGTTTGTGCAAACATTGGAGCCTCAACTCTGGAAACCAACACAAGATAACTCATCATCAAGCGGGGGCTAAAAGGATTAAAATAAAAGGGAGCAAAACTCAACTCTACCCTAGGCTACGATATACACAGAATTCAGCACCATGGCAAGGATCAAACGGGTATAAGTTAGAGGTCAGAAAGATCTGCACAGTTTTAGTATCTAAAATGACAGTTACATGGCAGAATTCACATACTAGTACACTACTTTCACGTACCACTCATAAATCAACATCCAGGAAGGGATTGTGCAGAACTATATGGTGAAAAACTTGCTGCAGATTCACTGTAATGCAATGGAGTCGGGTATCTCATAGAAGAAGATCCAAGATAGCTTGATGAAGCATTACTAGGACTTGGAACATACGGAGACACGTATCTAGTATTGAGAGGTGATACAGACGGATAGCCCAGAGAACCTGGAGAATAATACTGAGAGGCGTATGACCTTTGGGAGGACATATTCCTAAGGTCTAATGAACTTCGACTCAAACTCATTGAAGGAGATTGTTGGTTATGATATGAGTTGAGAGGACGAGGTATTTGAGGGCTACTTGAAACAGAAGGATAATGAGATGTTGCACGGGATCTTGGACTTGGTGAAGCTATTTGTATAGCAGAGGAACGCACAGATGATGACCTGAATGAAGAAAACGGTGAAGAAGCAGCAGATGATGGATTGGACGAGAGCAATGGTGTAGATTCTGAAGCCGGAGGTTCACCAGTGCTAGTCCTTGCATCTCGTTTGCAAACCGGACAAAATGTTCTCCATGAAGTGAGCCAAGCATCCACACAAAATGTGTGAAATTCTGCAAAATTCACAACATCACTAGTTAGATCCTCCGTGGCCACCAAAGAAAACTGCTATTTTATACTTGAAAGCACATCAAGCAAATAAGTAAAATTATCCTATTATCAATTTATCATACGAATCTGGTAGAAGCCGTAGAACAAACTCAAGTAATCAGCTTAATTTAATTTTTTACTCCGTAATTTTACCAGACCTATTATGAACCTTGGTGTTACAACCAACGAACCCATAAAACTTTTCGATATGATGAGCAAGGGAAACAAGTTCCCGTTCCATCATCTCTCGAAAAGTCAAAACTGATGATTGGTACAGGATAATCAGAATAACCGTTCAAGAGAATTCCTAATAGGTTAACAAGAACCATATTAGGCAAAAACAGCTTCCGCTACTAATCCATTTTTTAAAAAGTAGAATAGAACTGGACAAAGGAATTACAGGGTACCATGTAGCGCTATGTTTTTAAAGATTAACAGAATATTAGTTATAAATACATCCCAGATTCTCGCTTCTTGTGCATCAATGTGGTGGCAAATACTCAAATTAGCTTCTATTGATGTTGTGATACACGGTGTATCATATACCATATAGAATCTCCATAAGAATTAGAATTAGGGTGCAATATTACCTAAAGCAAATACTCACAAGCAAAGACAAATACAAAGGAACATCTCTATAGGCACACTTACTATGGCGACATGGCAGAATCCGGAGCTTGTCTCCAACTCTGTAGTCCTCAAGGCAGATAGCGCATGTTGATGCTGTGCAATTCTCCTCCGTTACAGATGTGAATACTAAGCTCGGCATAGCTTTAACTAAACGGCTACTCATCCCATGGAATTCTCGAACCCTACCTTGAGGTCTTTCCCGCCTAACACGGTGCCTTCTAACAAAGAAACAAGTAGCCAGCACCGCAGACATTGCCAGAAGAGAAATGAAAGAAATTGCCATTATCGACCACGCAGAACTTTCATAGCTAGCAAACATCCACACTTCCACATCAGGGCCAGCATAGGTCCTCAACTTATGTCCGGTTGCTTTTGAAACAAATACAGCATGGATATTTATACCAGCAGAGTTTCCTGCCACTGCATTGCCAGAAAACAATTCGTTAAAATGTTGCAACATAATGTTAAATTGTGTAAACTTCCTTGAGGAATGTAAACAATTGATCATCAATATATAGGGTTACAAAGATAGGGTTACAACTTACAAGACATACGACACAAGTCATTAGGAAACCTAAATCAAAGCGAATATTTACTTACATAAATACATTTATATACCCCTAAAATATATCCGAAGAATATCTTCCATCACATAACTAATTCATAAAATATACAAACAGATTCATAACATAAACATATGGTTTACAAGCATAAAAGTGAAAATCCCAGTCAATAATTTCCAAAACTTTCCTATACTCTTCGCAGCTTGGTCCTCGATCCATAATTCCAAAGGGAAATTACAACAAAGAACCAATAATCCGGAAGACCAATGCAACTTCTGTATTTTAACTCTACCTAGTTTCAGATAAGCTAATACTCCCACAATTCAATTCCAACTATCAACAATGGTTGGAAATTCGACATCAATATGTGCTAATTCAGCCTCCTAAACTCAATTATGCCATCAAAATCAACTACATAAGCAGGAGCAAAATTCAACAAAACCCCAATCCATTGTTTTCGAGTTCGATTCGAGCAAGTAATTCATACAACACACACAATAAAAACTGATTCAATTAAATTAGACAAAATGAAAAAGAGAATTACTTGCAACCAAACCACCACCATCCTCATTATCATAGATAATTACAGCTTCAAAACCTGCCTTCTGTGCCCTTCTAATCTTATTCTCAAAGCTACATCCACCTCTAACAATCAATGCAATCGGAGATGAACAATTTCCATCAAGCTCAACACTATTCTTCAATGGTGAACAACCATTAATTGGCTCTGCCATGGACAATCTTCCACACATACCAGTAAGCCCCAAAGGTTGTGCTGAAATTACCAATCATAAATTCATGATATTAGAACTTACCCAGATAGCATAATTTCAAATCAAACTAGAATTCCCTAACATAAAATCAATAATCCCAAAAATAATAAAAATAAAAAAATGTTTATTTTGAACTGTAATGCAAGGATTAAGATTTAAAACTCACCAAAATTTGCTTCAATATCATCAAATTTGACTGTGAAATTTGTTCCAATCAGAACAACAGAAGCAGAAGAGAAACTCAGCATCACGATGAAATATATACAACAAAATAAGATTTCTCTTGAAATCTTAAGACCCATATCAATTATTATTCAATAGAAAATACCCAAATCTGATCTTGTAACGATTTTTTTACAAGAAACCCAGAAAAGTTGAGGAATTTTTTTTGAGGGTTTAACTTAAAAAGGTTGACTCACAAGTCTCGGGTTCCAAGAAATAAGAAAAAACAGGATTGTCAACTTAAAAGGAATCAGCTTGCAAATAAACCCAGAAAGGGAAAGCTCTAATTTTGACCTAATTAAACTGCAGATTCTCTAATCAGGAAGAAAGGAAATTAGGTTTTCTAAGGATGGAAACATCAGCTTCCATCTGCAAATTGAAAAGGGAATTGCCAGAATTTTTTAGATTGTTTGCAGATTTTGAAGATTTAGACAGGGAAGAAAACAGAGGACACTAGACAAACAAAACAATGTGCTTCCGTTTTTTTTTTTATTATTATTATTTTGAGTTTTTTTTTTTTACTGTAATTATTATTATTTTAGAGGGAAAATTGGATTATTTTGTACAAATTAAAATAATGATTGGATAATGAATATGCCAAGATGCCAATTGAATACAGAGATAACAAGTTTTCTTTCAAAAAAAAAAAAAAAAAATGTTTATCCCAAAATAAAAAAATGAAATAATTGAGTACTAGATTATTCTCGGTCCTCAAACCTCATCAACATTATCTGTACAAATAAATGATTTTGTGCAGATGTATTTGGTTAACTAAATGTCTCTTGAACTTGGACCACTTTTGTTTATGGGATCCACCTCCTCTAAATACCCAATATAAGTTAGTTGCTTTTAATTAAGATTACAACTTCCGAATAGTATTTGTTTCTTTTTCTGGTCTAATTTGATGTAATCTTGTGGCAAATTGATCCAACATAGGTTTCGATAAAGATACAAATGGTAACGTTCGGAGTATTTGAGAATCTTATCTACTAATCTACATATGATCACTGGTTCAATTCGACTCAGCCTAAGCCCTACACAACTATTTGGATTTGCCCCAAATACAACCCACTCTAAACTGGTCTACTTAGTTTATGGGTTGTGGATTGAACTCCCTCCTTAGTCCCAACACACAAAACTGGTTCGAACTCACAACTTTGCTAGTAAAAAACTGTTAAACTTTGCAAGTAGAATACAATTATATAGCGGTGCTTTATTGCATAATTTACTTAATAGATTTAACTTCATTCTTTTATTAAGTACTCATACAACAAATCTAAACATTGGATGGATCAAAATTCTGTTTCATTTTTCTTTACTTGCATTTGACACTGTAATTTAAAAAAAAAAAAAAAAAAAAGGAAGCAGAACCATTAATGATACTTCGTACAAAATGAACAAAGGTAAAACCAAGAAAAATGTTACAAAGCACAATAAGTTAGCAGCAACACTGGGATGACCTATAATTTGACGCCATAAGTTAGCAGCAACAATGGGGGTGACCTCATAATTTGACGCCAAACGTGATGGCAGATTCTGATACCAAAGGCAAAAGCTCGAGGAACCACTAGGTGAAGCTGTTAGAAACTCGTCTGTCTTTCTCTAAGCAATCCTGCTCCAACTTTAAGTCCAATCACGATTGAAGAGATAATCTTGAAGTTACATATATTTCCTAGTCTTCCTTGTCACCTGATCTTTGTGCTTCACTGCTATCAGGTCTCAAAGGCTGTGCACTAGCATTATCTTCATCTTCTTTACCAAGAGTTTGTATTATCATCATGACAGCTACCAGGAAAACAATGAGGAAAACTAATTTGAGGCCAATCATGGAATTCAGGAACTGCATGAATGATGGGCCACTAATCTTTTTTGATATTGTCCTTCCTTCTTTATATCCTTCGAGAAAGTGTGTTATGGCGGAACCCTGATCATCATCACCGATACTCTCTGAATCAATTACCTGGACAGAAAAGGATTAGGTGTTAGGATTTCTGCACTCTTACATCACCCGAATCCAAAATCTATAATAACAAGAATAGTAAGTCTCACTAATTGTCCCGCAAACTAAGTAAATGTAACTATGTAAGCTTGCAACCAAGCCATTAATAGTGTTTATAGTAGCTATTATTGCTGTTATATTTTGAGAAGCATGACATTTTTTTTTTTTTTTTGAGAAGCATGATCTTTGCAAAGGCTAGATGCAGATAAGGGAGATTATACGATAACTTACATTGAAATACTCCTCATTTCCATCCCAAACAACCATTTTTGGAAATTTAGTTTTTTTACTGATCTCAAATGTCTCAACGAAGTCCGGAAACTGCTGAAGACCAGCATAAGCAAATAAATAATCACGATTAGCAGAAGCAGCAGCCTTCAATAACTTTACCAGCTGTTTCGTTTTATCATCATTCTCATCCTCCACAAAAGTCAAAACAATTTTCCTATCTTCATCTCTCAACAACTTCAATGCGTCAGAATTTATAGGCAAACACAAGGGCAATACATTTTGCTTAATGAACTCCTCCATGAATTGATCTGCACATGATAAACAGGTCAACTAAGCATTTTCTTGATATGTACACATTAAAGTTCACATCTGTTAGTTCCAAAACTCCACGTTTACACATAGCAAGAAAGCAAACCTTTTTTTTTTCTTTTTCTTTTCCCCTAAAATGCAAATTGCAAATTGTAGAAGTAAGACAAAGGGACCTGATGCTAATGGAACCAAACAAATAAACAATACAACTACAACACCTTCACCTATAGAGTAAACTCTTTTAAATTTTTTTTTTTTTACTAGCCTATAATCCCAATTCCTAAACACTGCACGCTATAAAGACTGTAACAAAAGAAAAGGGATGGAAAATGGATCTGAAAGGTGCTCAACCAAAATCACAGATCGGGCATTAAATCAGTCACTGATGTGCAAATCCAACAATTTTCACAGATCAATCACTGATGTGCAATTCCAACAATTTTCAGCAATTTTGCTCCTGTTTCCATGGTCTTATTTAAAGCAAGGGATATTGCCAACAAAAATAAAAAGATTTGGTCAATTTGATGATCTGAATAAGAACCTACCGTCAAAAGGCCCATAGAATATGTTTTTCTCATCGTAAGCTGGATGGAGAGACACTAGAGCTGGTACTTTGTCAAAATCATACGATTCCATAACACTATCTGAAAAATCCTTTGCCACTGAAAACCATGCCTGTTTCTTGTATTTGATGGCAAACTTGGATATGACAGACTCATCCATTCCAAAGCCGACATAGATGGGAAAATGAGAACCAGCTTCTTCAACAAAGTTACTAATAGCAGTGTCTGAATCGAGAATAGATACATCCGGAGCAACAAATTTCTTTAAAAAACGGACAAGTAAATCAGCCTTCCTCGGTCCATTATAATCAACAGGAACACCATGCATGAAGAGCTTCAGAGTTGGAAAGCCACTGAATAACAATGAAAAGCAGAATTATTACTAACCAAATAAATCACCTTAATAAATTAATTATGCAAGATTAGCTGGAGTAACTTATCCCAGAAATATTCACTGACAGATCCAGAGCAGAGAATTAAACACAGTTTTTGGACGGAATAGTATTATACAACTTGCAATTGCATATTGTAAAGTTGTAAACGGTACAATAAGCCCTACTAAATTCAAAAATTACATAAGGTGTTCATCTGAAAAAGACCAATTACATACTCAATCTCATATTTATCACCAACACGTCTGTACTTGTCAGCATCAATTTTAGCAATCACAATGGGCTTCTCCAGTCCAGCAAGGGCAGCAGCTGCTGCATCCAACTGCATATAAAATTCAGAAACATGAATATCTTTGGTTTAAGTGATCAACTTCTGTTTTCATAATAGTATTAATTGGGTACGAGTACATGACAAAATTGAATATGTTAGAATTATTATCACAGATTAAGAATCAAATTGTAGATTTATTTGTTATTTGGGGCAAGCTGGGGGTGGACAAACAGAAGAATTGAAGAAAGGTGCATCTACTCACCTAGTGTTTTACTCCGTAAATTATAATGCGAAATTGCAAACATACAGATTTTTTCCACAGATTACTCTTCTTAAAGTTCAAAATGATTCTCATTCAAATCGAAATGATCGATTAGTATTAAAAAGTGTATATAATCTATTTCTATATGATCCATTTATCCCCTCCATACAGATATACAAGTTCCCTTATTGATTTTACCCATGATCAAGGATATGACATAATTCTAATATAAAACCATAATAAAATTTGAAGTTTCCATTCCAACATTCTCCGGTCCCTATCACTTATATAGAATAAGAATATCTTGAAAAGTCCAATCAATTTAAATAGCTAATTAATCTAACTAGTTAATTAACATTCACAATTTTGATCTAGGCATCCTAAATCATTATTCATCACTACTACTTCGGTATAGTAGGATAGCTTTCTTAAGCATAAGTAGAATCATGTCACTTGCAATCGTTGCACTATTTGAATTTACGACATCAGCACAAAACTCTACCAAACTCAAAGGGATACAGAAAACATTAGAAATTGCTAATGTATAACAATTGGTAGCATGAACAATTCAAGCAACAAATCGTATCGCCTCGAAACAAACTACTGATACACAAATTTGAAGATTGGTAAAGATTATCTCAAATAGACAGAACCTCTGCTCCTAATAGATCTCAACTACACTCAAATCAGACATGTATAATCGACATTTTGCATCAAATTCAGTAAAAGAAAAACACAATAATAAAAAGTAAAAACTTTTCGCCAATTATCCACAAAATTATACTCGATATCAAACAGAAAAAACCCTAATTATCAAAGCACACTCAAAAAAACCAATTATAACTAAATTAAGGAAAATCAAGGAAATAATAGAGTACAATAAGAAGATCTAAAAAAGCAGAAAAACAATAGGAGAGAGAAGGAGGACCTCAGGAGAGAGACGCTTGCAGTGACCACACCAAGGGGCGTAGAAATCGACGAAGACATAATCGAAGGTTGAAATCGCAGAATCAAAGTTTGAATCGTCCAAATCAATCACTTTTCCATCAATGTCGAATTGCTGTTCTTCGGCGAAGATCGAGAGGAGAGAGAAAGAGATGATCGAGAAGATGACAAGTTGAACTGCTACTGATCGTATTCGCATGGCTGCTTCTTTTCGAACTGTTTGTGTTTGTGTTTGTTTTTCTGGAGTTTAAGTTCGCGGATTCTTGTTTTGTTTCCTTTACTCGGGTTTATGGATTTAAATATAATCCTCGGAAAAATAAATATTTTTAATGTCTCGTAATGGGTTAGAATGAGACCGTCTTATTAAAAGCTAATTTTGAGTATGTCGAGTATTAGTGTATGACTACTACTATTACTCGTATTACACGAGAATATAGAAAGTTTTTGCTAAATCGTAGATTAACAATTTTGGTACATATCTAAAGTTTTAGAAAAAATAATTCTAAACTTACACAATTAAGAAATAAATATAACAAGAGAAAATACAAGAATTGTCCATGTATGACCTAAACCTATTTGATCTAATTTTACAATTGAATAATTCCACATTGATTATTGGCATTTGCCATATAACTAAAAGGGAAAATAATAATTAAAAAAATAAATAAAAATAGTAGCACAAGATTTTTACTACGTAATATTGAAAACTTCACGTCTTACAAATGATCACCAATAATCTCTACAAGAGCAAGATCCATGTTTGAAATGATGGAATCTACTTCGATCCCTAACAACGATTTCACGGTCGAAAATCTTGGATATGAGCTTAATAGCAAGGTGGCAATCAGCACACACCCTTAGGTTCTTGATTATTGTTATTGGAGTTCCTGGCAAAGTATTAATGAGCATAAAAGCAATAGCAATCTTTTCACTGTGATATGTCAAGGCAGTCTCTTTTTCTTCCTCTTCAATGTCAGCTAGCACATTTACTGTATGAGGCACATAGCCCTCCAGTCTTAGGACCTTTGTGATCTCTCTTAACATCGCGTATATTTCTTTGTCCTGAGGATGAGATCGATCTCCCATAACAAACTCATGAACACGATTCCTCAACTCAACAAGGCTGAATCCCGGTGTTTTCCTAACTCCTTCCTCCACCATTTTGGCCCTCAGTTGCTGGACATCAGTCCAACGATGCTCGGATGCATAGAGATTCGAGAGAAGCACATAATCGCCACAATGCTTAGGGTCTAATTCTAAAAGTTTAGACCTTGCAGTTTGTGCAAGAGCTAGATGCCCATGCAGTGAGCATGCACCTAATAATGTCCTCCAAATAACAGCATTTGGTTGCATTGGCATGTCTTTAATGAATTCATACGCTTCTTTCACCTTTCCTGCTCTACCAAGTAGATCAACCATACAACCATAATGCTCAATCCTCGGCGTAATTCCATACTTGTCTTTCATCTGATTGAAATAATCAAATCCTTTATCCACCATTCCACAGTGACTACAAGCATACAAGACTCCAACTAAGGTGATATCAGTTGGTGCCAGTTCTTGCACTTCCATCTCCTCGAAAAGCCGAATTGCTTCACTTCCAAACCCATTCACAGCTAACCCAACAATCAAAGACGTCCAAGATACCACACTTCTTTCTCTCATCTGATCGAAAACCATTTCTGCTTCCCTAATTCTCCCACATTTTGCATAAAAATCTAAAAGCGCGTTCACTGCGTGCAAATTCTCATTCAAGCCAACCTTACACATGTAAACATGTACTCTCCTACCCAATGCCAATGCACCAAGCTCGGCGCAAGCACATAACAAGCTCACCATTGTAAACCCATCAGGCTCAACACCTTTCAAGGTCATCTGCCTAAAAAAATCCAGAACTTCATGAGGCTTCCCATTCAAAGCAAACCCATTTATCACAGAATTCCAAGTCACAAGATTTCTAACAGGCATTTTATCAAACACCTTGTATGCACTATCAGGGTATTCACAAGTAGCATACAAATGCACCAACCCATTTTGCACAAAAACTAAAGAATCAAACCCAGTTTTAATTACAACACAATGCACCTTTTCCCCCAACTTCAAATCCAACAACTTAGAAGTTGCCTTCAATAAAAAAGGGTAAGTATGTGTATCAGGCTCAACAAGATGAACTGCTCTCATCTGGGTATACAAATCAATGGCTGGTTTAGGGTTTTCACTGAAAGCATAACCTCTAATCATGGTATTCCAGGTGAAAATATTAGGGGTTTGAATTTGGGAGAAGATTTTCTGGGCATAATCCATGGATTTGGAAAGAGAAACAGAGAAGAAGATTAGGTGTTTGGCAAGAAGAGGGTTGTGTAATGGGACACCATGTTTGATAGAAAAAGCATGAATTTGTTTGAGTTTGTGATTGGAAGAAGCAGATGATTGCAAAAGTGCAATGCATTGTTTGAGAATGAAAGGTTTTGGGTTTTCTGGGATGAATGTTTGTGTGCAGTAGAAAAACAGAGAGATGGGTTTGTGTAGTAAATTGAAAGAAAATGGTGAAAGATTTGGTTTGAAGTGCATAACTTGGTCATAATGGAGATGAAAGCTACGAACTATCAAAATACTATAACACTGAATCATCATGGAATAGCACTATGTCTTTAACTCGAATATTTATATGAAACGGAGGGAGTACTTAATTAAATATAGATAATCGAGATTTCACAAGGAGGTTGCACAATAATGCAGCGAAATTATGCATCAATGGCGATATACAAGTAATTACTAATAACAGTAGCCAGCAGATTAATTTAGCTGATTAATGAAATGGTTATGCATTTTCTTATCAATCATTGATTCAGTTCATAACAATTTGGTACTCGTACTTTATATACGAAGTATGAATGAGCTTATAAACTTAATGAGATGGATTTTGGTAGTTATTACAAAATTATTGTATCATGCACCAGAGATTGCTAAGCACATTGTTATTCCTATTAGTTTTCAAATTCTGTATATGTACATGCATGTTCATACTATATGAACTTAATGTTTGTAAATGTTTTCTATATTTGTAACTTTGCAGTAATTGGTCATGATTTTTGAAATATATGTTCAACCAACTGTCGGATTAATCCATATAATCTATCAACTGGAACCACTACATATTGATACAAATCATGGTCTTGAGTGTGGGACATAATTTTCAATTCTTATTGATATTAATCACTCATTAATATAAGCTAAAAAATAATATAATTTAAAAAAAATTGCTAAATCTACAACTTGTTTTTCCTCTACCATTTCAATTAATTCATTACCACATAGCAAAAAAAACAGTTAGCTATAAATCATTTTAAGCTTCAAAGCACTGTACATACATGACAAACATCCATACAAATTTGGCATCATTTTTGTGTTAATCACAAAATCTTTTCATCGAAGCCACCCCGTCAAAAAAAAAAGGGAAAGAAAAACTCCTCAAACTCTGTAACTTCAGCGGACCAACTCTGCATGATCGTTGACAATGAAAGATGAAAGACTGATAGCAAGGCTCCACCAAGTCTAGCAATGTTATCCTACATCATTCCGAGCGTTAGTACTTCAAGATTGCGAAGCATACTTACTCTTAAATAAGACACCTATGTCTCAAAAATGCAGAAAAAACGATTGCTTAGACATTATCGTCCATCCTTGCACGTTTTGCACCTGCTTCCCTAAGCCATTCTTGGCATTCATCTGCAGTTCCAGTAGGATGGGCAAGTTGCCATTCAATAACCTTTTGTTGCTGGAGATAACAAAGGAAAATAAATTAGGGCCAAGTATCTCAAAGAAAACCAGTATTTTACCAGGAGATGAATGTCTCACCCATTCTTTCACATTTGGTCCAGCTTTGAGGTTTAAGATACTCATAATGTCCTTTCCATTGACTAATGGCTTTGCCTCCCAAATGTTTTCCAGATCTGCACAATCAAACATTTCAGACACCATAATTGTGCATAAGTCGTACAAATTTATATCTCTGTTAAAAGAAAAAAAAAAGGATTGCAAAACTCCAGAGATGCAGATAGTCAAGAGGCAAATCTATGGATTGAAATAAAAAGTTCATAGCAATGAGTTTGTTGCAAACAGCTAGCAATCACAACAGTAGAAGTTCAATGAAATTTAGGAACTAAGACAAAGATTAGTAAGATTCTTACCTAGTTTCAAAATAACATCCTTCACCTGCTTAAACAAAGCTCTATTCTTCTCCAACTTCAAGTCCTCAGCTAATGACTCACATAAATCACCATTAGGATATAATAACGTGGATACAAGCAATGCAACTGGCCAAAAGTCTTTGATTTCTCGGAGAAGCAAGCCTGGGAGAGCAGAACAGATAATACATTTAAGAGATTTCTGTCCATGTAATAGATTTTGCAACAAGTCTCAACTGTCACAGAAAGACCAGAACCAACTATCATACAGCCTTGTTCAGTTTATTCACCACCTTCAGGAATAAAAGCAAACATCCCTTTTCTTACCCCGCTCCTAATATTATACTACAGAAAACAGATACAACCAGAGGTAACTCTTGGATTTTGGGGGAAAATAAAAACAAAATGAAGAGGAAAAAATAAAACCTGCTAATATCCGTAATTTCAGTGTCTCAGGGACATCAATAAGGATTTTCCCACAGTGAGCTTCAGCATGTTGCACATCCTTTTCAGACGTAATACAAGAAATTAAAGGAATAAATTTCTCAGCTGCACGGTGTACACTTATAACCTAATAAGGGAAGGAAATTATCATATCATGAGGAGGTCACCCAGAAAGCAAAGTAACAAAGCCTTAACAATATCATGAGCCCCAAGGAATCAGAACTAACTGTTTCAGCATCCTTAGATTTAAGTTTGAGAGAATTTCGAAAAATGAAATCAACCACAGGGACCTGCAAAACCAGGGAAAAAAAAACAGTAAACTAAAGGCATGAAGATGACAAATCAGCAGCTTTTGATCACTTGACAGTTGACAACACAGTCCAATAATATAATTTATAAGCATGAAATATATCTTTACATGATAATTTCTGATGATATATTATCATAAGCCAATATAACCAAATTTCCACCTATCCAAATATTTACTTTTCAGTTGAGCATAATTTTCAGGAAAAAAAATAGTACTAACAAGTAATATTAAGGGTAAAATCATAAACTGAACATTAACATCTAAGAAAGCAAAACAAGCATTAAGTATGACAAAAGAGCCTTTCAACAGGTAAAAAATCTTTCATCACCTCTTGAGAACAGCATAGAACTGAGTGTTATGAACAAAGGGGGCAGGGATGCTAATTAACTAAAGGTTACCTTTTTCTTCTTATTATCTCTGTACACCATGCTCCTTAGTGGAAGAAATAAAGCAGAATATAAGCACAACCGCCTCTGTTCATCCTGAAATTATTAAGACATAACAATTCAAACCAAAATCACCACCACCCTAGCAACACACAAGAAATGCATGCAGCCTTCAAATATATGTATATTGTTACAACAAATAAACTGTTCTTCAAGATCAGCTTTCAGAAAATTGTTTAGTAAGGTTAAGGCCTAAAACAACATAGAATAAAAGTTTTGGTAATTTGGTCTGATTTAATCTCTTCCCTAATGCTTTGTTTGGATAGCAAAGAAGGAAGGAAAAGAAGGGGAGGGAAAATGGAGGAAGGGAAGGGAAAAGAAAGGGAGGGGGAGGTGAGCTTCATTTTCCCTCCAAATCTCTCCAATTTTGGAGAGATTATGGTTATTATAGAGAGAGGGAAAATGGATCCCTCTCTCTCCTTCCCCTTCCTTCCCCCAATCTTTTACCCAAACAAGAGATTTTGTCCCCCTCCATTTCTCTTCTCTTCTTTTCCTTTCATTTCTTCCTATCCAAACAAAGTGTAAATATTGCATGTGAGGTCTATGGTAAGATAACTTTTGGAGGTGTTTTCATTCATCCTGAGAGAGAGAGCTTCTGGCAAGGCAAAAATTTGCCAGAATGGGAAATCAGGATTTAGGTTATCAATGATTGTGCTGTGCTTTCATTAACATGGCCAATTAAATCTTTTAATGTCCCTCCTAATACTTTAGTTAGAAAGTCAAGCTCCACCATTCCTTCCAAATCATTATATTGTATAAGTTGCTATAATTCACTTGATCACGAGATAGGCCAAAATGATATCTATTACTAGTATAATACAAAAGGAAACATTAATAATCAAAAACAGAGGATTTACATCACATAAGCATGAAAGAGATGTGATAAATGTAAACTGACATTTAAGTTAAGAGATTCCAGTGACTGAATAAGTCTCAGTGCTGTATCCATAAAAGCAAGACAGAACCTGTAGGCAAAGAGATGGTGAGCATACAATAACAACAACAACAACAAAGCTTTAGTTAATAATAATTTATTTATTTTAATAATAATAATATAAATATAATACAAGTAATAAACAAAACAAAAAAATTCATTCACATCATTTTAATCATTTTATTTTGATTTCTAGTGCACGCCAATAATATATACCCTTTATTCAGCTTAATAATTTCACGTTTATGATTGAAGAAAATAAATACTTGAGAATTCATAAACATCCAAAGATAAGGATTCTAAAGGGAGACAGCTGCACTAGCCACTAGCAAAGAGTTTTCAAGATAAAGCAATTAAGATGTTGCCAATAACAACTTTTTTAAGTAACAAACAATAATGATGACAGTATCTCAGCCAGATTATGTGCTCTGATAAATAGGAGCTGAAAGCTTCTAACGCTAATGAATTAACTGAGGATGAGGTTAGCGAAGTATAGAATGGATCAAACCTATCACATTCTTCTGGTAGTGAAGGCTCGACATTTGAAGGAACATTAAAAACAATCCAAAATAATTGCAAATCACGGATATAGGTCACGGCTTTAACAGGTTCATTTCCCCCAATCATGAGATCTACCTGCAAAACGCCAAAAATATATGAAAACATGAATTAGTTGATCAGAACAGGTGAAAGGAGCAACAGAAGGCCAAAGGACCATTCTGCATCAAGAAAAATATTTTTAAACATACTTCATGACCGATCCTTTCCCTGCTTATCTTCTCTTTGATGGCATCTCTAACTTCATCAGAAGCTGCAGCTTCCTTTAGTCCCTCATCTAGCACAAAACAAAACCTTGCACCTAAAAGATGATCAAAACAATTAAACATGATTACATGCAAGGACGAGATACGAGAGCATAAATATTAGAAGAAAGCAATCTGGTCAGAGATACATACCAAAGCGGATAGCTCGAAGAACACGCAATGGGTCATCCAAAAATGTCTCCTTTGGGGGCAGAGGAGTGACTATTTTTCCTGACTTCAGATCTGTAATGCCTGCCATCAGAATAAGATGCAGCAAACAAAGTATCAGATAGATAGATGGTTAACAGAGAGTATAATCTTCCTTAGAATATGTGAACCCCACAATTTATACATCCAAACTAACCTCTTCCAGTAAAATCTTCTACAGAATCAGAATTGATATTGTAGAACAAGCTGTCACATAAAAAAATGTCAATGTAATTAAAAAGACATTTACAAGATCAAATTCTTATTGCAAACTTAACATACAGGAATAAAGGATTTAAGAGACATGTTTGAAGACATCAATTAAGATCAAGTTCTTCAGAGAATATATGCAATATTTGCTGACTACTGAATAGATATTTACAAGCTATTACAACAAATATTCCCCTTTAAATGAAAAGAAGTAAAATTGCATTTCAACGTAAATTATGTGAAGTTGTGAACAGTTCTGATAACGGTTCACATAATCACATCCTACAAAATGTCGAAGGTTAAAGATGAAACAACATGTAATTATAATTTTTTTTTGATTGAATAGATATACTCTTCTCTTACAAAATATTCTCAATGTCTCAGAAAGCCCAAGAGAACATACACCAAAGCATACTCGGTGAGAGGAAATGAAGATTCAACTTTTTGACCAAAGTAATTGTTCATTTTTCTTCCGTAATTTAACTTGGAATAAGAAAATTGAAGCAAAATATGAATTACCTGTTTATAGTCAAATCCCTCCTATACGCATCCTCTTCTGGGGTGCCAAATCTCTGTAATTTAAACCAAAGTCAATCAGAAACACCTACATTAGCCGTCCATAACTGGCCAAACCTAAGCAACAAACTGGCTTACCAAGAGCGGCAGATCCACATTAATTGTTTTACCAATTGGCATGGTTCATTAATCTAACATTTTCCATCAATAATACTTTGAATATTAATGATAAAATGAGAAGGCCCGGAACCTGAACCTGGGTCTCTAGTCATTAGCTACTGAACGGGACCATGGCCTGCCTCAGACCGGCTACAGTGAGGGCCATAATGCACCTGAACCAGTTGAGGCTAGCCCATGTCCACCTCAACCTTCCAGTAAAAATGTCATCTAATAGCATTATGGCATTACTATAACTCTCTAAAGGATAATGTTCAGTCGCTGGGACTTGGGAGGGGATGGAACGGAACTTGACCTTTCTACGACAATTTCATTAAAAAATTTCAAAAAATGAAAAGGCTTTGGATAAATCATGAAAAGGAGAATTAAAACGACATACAGGTCCAAGTAAGGTTTCATCCAAAGGGAGAAACAACACCTAGAAATATGTGGTTACTTCCAACCACATACAGGTTCGAGTAAGGTTTCATCCAAAGGGAGAAACAACTCACAATTTAGAACAATTCAAATGATCATAGATGTATGAAGTCTAAATATAACCCCTCACAATCTCGCATGTGAGTTCCCTATGAGCTGAGCATATAGTTGAATGACCGGAAATATATAGTCTAAATAAGTAGTATAACGATTTTTATTTACCATGGTAGGGATGCGGCTGTTTTCACAGTAATCTTCAGCCCTTAAATTTACAAAATCAATCCAAAGATCAAGAAGGCGCATCCTTGCAGTTTCCAAGTGTTTGGATTGATCAGGGTTACTGCAAAGAAAAGATCTTCATCGATTCACATACACACACATGTAACAGTGAATATACAGAGAGTATTTTGAACTATTGACCATGTATCACAAGTTTACAAATAAGAGGTAATTTCAGTAACTGCATTATAAGATGGTGGCAAATTCAATAAATTTGGAACCTCATATTAATTTACAAACAGAAACCAGTTCCAGGTATTTGGCTTACTCATAAAGGTAGGATTAGCATATATTCTCAAAGCCTTGAATAATATTTAATTGCTCCATACATATATCCCCTAATTTGAAACCATCACTTTTTAAGTTATAAGGATTATTATCTCTTCTCAAAACCACTACTGCTGCACACCCACCTTATAAAGTAAGTAAGCATGGATTGCTTATCTTTCAATTTATGCAAAGATTGCTATTCCTGACAATAAAATTTTTACCTAAGAGTGAAGATAACTGTTGATAAATAGTTGAAATTATCTGACAAAGCTTGGTGAAGATTGTGCATCTTGCATATATTTTAGAAAGAGAAAGGAGAAAAAGAAAAGGTTTGGACATGGTATGTATATACTACATCAGTATCACTTAGCATTCATCATTTTCAAAGTCCATTTACCAAAGAAAAATCCCCATGGAAGGAGTAAAATACATTGTACCAGCTAAAGGTCCTGCCATAACAAAGCAAAATTGAAGCAACAGAGAAAAATGCAAGAGGTATTAGGGAAAGCTAAGATGAAACTGAGGTCATATTGGGGGGAGGGGGGGAGAAACAGAGAGAGAGAACTGATACAGAAAAAAGATATCAAATGAGTGTATATGCAGTTATGCACATACCATTGAATCACGCCAATTCCCTGAACATCTTCTCCTGTCTTCAATAGGTACTCATTGATCTTTTCACAAAATTCTCTACCCAACATGTTATCAATAGCAACATCAATGTCATAACAATCTTTTCCTAGAAGCTGCATAAATAAATAAAAAAAATTAAGTGAGAATCAATGCAAGTGAACGATATAGAGAATTAGAGACAGGATAATCTACTACCCTCCACATATGTTAAAACCTACTTTGGCCGTCGCCTGTTTTTTAATGACCCGATTCCCTACCTTCTGCAATGATATGCAGCTCAAGAATCATCCAGATTCACCAAATTTAACCCTCATAAACAAAAGAAAATCAAAGTAGGATCGAGAGAGCACAACAATACAATATGGAAGTCACTACAAATCTACAATTAATAAAGTTCACCAAGCAAATGTATTAGACTTGCTTGCCCTGATTTCATCAAAGCTTAACAGGCTTACTTTCAGATGATCATCATGCCTACAAAGCATCCCAAATAATCAAATATGACTCAATCTAAACTAAAATCCCTCCAAAATGAGCATACACTCAAATCAAAGCAACCCCATTTGAGCCTTTCCCTTTCGTTCCCAATATATAGGAGGCAAATTCAGTCCCATTAACACCTACAAAACGGCAATCAAAGTTTTGCAACCCACCAATAAATTTTACAACCCTCAAACAAAATCAATTCAATCAACTATACACAAATTGAACAGTTTTCCAAACATTCTCCATGGGGTTCTCAACCACTATAGGTAAAACAAAGCATATAAATTAACATGCTTACTTCAATTTCACAAGTATTACACAGAAAAATATAAAAATTAAATCTTCAAAAATGTAAATACCCATAAATATTTACCAAAAAAACTCAACAAATTATTACACAATCATCAAATTATGAGCAAAATAACTGTTAATCTATCAAATATTAACAAAAAGTAGACCTTATCTCGGACCCAACCGCCAGCAACACGGAGCTGGGTGTCAAGATTGAAGTGATGAAGGACACCTTTAAGGCGTTGGAAAATGAGAGACTCCTTCTCAGTGAGATGAATTTGGTCTTTGACTTGGATTGGCAAGTGGGGTTCCGACGCCATGGTTGCTCTGCAACGTAGGGTTTTAGGAGGGTTCAACAGAAATGGGGTTTTCAGAGGAAGAAGAAGAAGAGGGTGATGGAGGAGAGAGAATGAATATTTAGGGTAGCTTATAAACCGGTTTGCACTTGGCGCCAGTACTCTCATCATTCTTTCTCCATTTCTGTGATTTCACTCCTTTTGTCTAAAATAGCCAAGCCTTTCACCAGTAGACCGTTTGATGTATACTGAAGATTAGTGCATTAACCCTTGTTTGAGAATTTTTTGGACCCGATCCATCCTCGACCGATACTGAGTTTAATTACCGTCAGTTGATGAATATCAGAAGAGAACACTTAAGAAAAATCCCTCCTAAATTTAACTTGGTGAAATTTAACCTCTGCGTTCATGCCTAAAAGTCTGAGAGCTAACCCTCTATCTCATCGAGAAAAAGTCTGAGAGCTAGCCCTCTATCTCATCGAGAGAGTGAGTGTACAGAATAGACCATTAAACATAAACGTCTGTTGATTTACCTGTTAATTTGAAAAGAAAAGAAAAAAGAAAGAAAATCAAGTCAAGTTTTGTTAGTAAACAAATTCATTTCACTGTTACTTCTAAGTTTTTAGTAAATGGCTAGGTTTTGGACGATTTTGAACATATATGCTTTACAACAGTAGATCGAAAAAAAATTTGAGCAACCATGCCAGCTTATGTCAAAACTTGTTCTTGATTCATAGCTGTTTGTTTCAAGATAGTTACACCTTTCAAACTTATAAACAAGGCAAATCTAATCAACACACAGGTCAGGCCACCAAACATAGGCCATTATAAGGTGAAGTAATTGAAGGCGAAGAAATTCCAAAAAGACAACCAAAAAAATTTTATCTAGTGACTTTCATTCTCACTACAATAAATATAGTATTTCTCAAAATCATACAACCTATTCGTATCCCCTTTAACACCTAACAAATGGACATAAATTTACAGGTCAGGCATTTCCGTCTCAGAAATCCAGTATCTAAATTCCAAAATTTCAAGGAAAAAAATCAGCAGATGACTCCCCACCATTGGAGATGATAAGCAAATCACTAAGCTTTGGCACTCCTTCCACCCTGTCTACTAATGGCCTCACATAAGCGGCAGGGTAACGTATCAATGCTCGTTGCACGAGTCTTTCCATAGTTACCAAGCACACCACATCTTCTCCAAGCATGATATTCCGCATAAGCAACAGGGTCGTTAGCAAGTGTCTTGATGTAAGACGCTAGTGCCTCTAATGAACTAAACTTACTACCATCTATTATCGAATTTGGGGGAACAAAGTCCCATACATTTGGTGCCCCAAAATAGATCGGAACAGATCCAGCATCAAGGGCATAATACAGTTTCTCAGTGACATAGCTCTCAGTCATAGTGTTCTCAATAGCAAGGACAAACTTGTAGTGAGACATGGCACAATGTAAATGATCCCACCATTTCGGAGCAGAGGTAAGGTCCTTCATACATTCTGGATACATAGAAAGTGCCTTGTCCAGGCCACCAACATTGTTTAAGCACTTCCCAAAAGAATGATGAGGTAATAAAGCAAGAAGTCTCTTGGCACGGTCATTTCTATCAGGAAGGCAACGAGATGATGACCAGTATACAAGAGTGTCCTGAAATCAGAGATTCAACATCAGGTAAAGGCGTAAAGCATAAAAGCAAGCAATAGAGAGTTTAAGGGCAGGGGGTGGGGATCAAATATGGTGGCCTTAGTTTTGCTAAAAAAATATAAAATAAAAGACTTACATTCTTCTTTTGAGAAGACACTTGGTAATTACGATTGTTGTGAAAAAGGCCTCCAGCATATGTTGCCTGCACATCATCCTCAGCATGATAGCTAATAAAAATATCCTCACGTCCTGACCGTCTCCTACCAGCCTCAAGATCCATGTAGATGCGTAGTGGGTCGCCCATGCGTCTCTGAAGAAATGAGCAAGTCTTTATAGCATCTAGTTGATAGAGAACAGAGATATGGTACCTTATTCATTACTCATGGCTGAAAGTAAAACCACTTGGAGGATGTTTAATCCGGGAGCTACATATATCACAGTATCACACGCATAAATTAACTAGAAACAAAGGAATTATGACCGTTTAATATCGAACTCTCCCAAGGTACATACATAAAGGCTAGAATACATCTATTCTTAAATGATACAAGCTGATGAATAACATTGCTCAAGGGCACATTAACACGTCCATTAAACATTTGTTCCTGGGATGACAAAAGCTAGATGAATCATGCCGTGAACACACAACATCAATGTCAATTTAAAATCATGTGACTCGATTGTCAGAAAACTCAGAAATTCAGAACATACACAGATTGCTATTTACAAATGCCTTTAGTCACAAGCTCACAAATGATGAACTACAATGTTTGTAAAAAATACATATTTTATCACAACTATACCTATTGGCCTTTCAGCAGTCATATGATAGCATCATCAACTTTCCAACTTCTAATTCTCATCTACAATCGTAAACAGAGCCACATGTTATGGTGGCCTTGGTATAATGATGAGTTTCTAACACCGCACATTTGTCCAGCTTGGAACCCCCAAAGCATAATAACATAGAGTTGAGCATAAAAACATATGTATGCCGAAACTCAAAGTACTATATTGGATAGAGATATGTTCTCAGAAGCATGCCAGCATCTTCAAATAACCCAATACAAGCACATATCAAACTAAAGAAAATAACACCGCACATTTGTCCAGCTTGGAACCCCCAAAGCATAATAACAGAGAATTGAGCATAAAAACATATGTATGCCGAAACTCAAAGTACTATATTGGATAGAGATATGTCCTCAGAAGCATGTCAGCATCTTCAAATAACCCAATACAAGCACATATCAAACCAAAGAAACAATCTTCCTTCCTAGATATCTATCAGCAGCATCTTCAGATAACCCAACACAAGCACATATCAAACTACAGAAACAATCCTCCTTCTTAGTACCTTTGAAACCCAACATTCCCCTTATAACAAAAAACTATTGATTAGAAGCTATGCATACCACAAGTTCACAACTGTATCAAATCCCAAAAGCCTGATAGATTCATAGATATGGAGCACTCATTCAATGACAAATCTCCCATAAACTACATAATCCTCCAATTAACTCTGAAGACCATACCAGTATAGTTTACCGAACACCCAACAAGTAATGGTTTATAATTGCTCTCTGCAGTCAAAAAATTTTAAGTGATTGAACCCACCTACTGCACAACTGTCATGTATTCACTACTCAGCCTGACTTGTGCACATTGCCAAGGTTAATTTTCCGAACAATAGCTCATTTTTCACTAATAAGGTTTAAAATAAAGAAGTTCAAAAATAAGGGGTTTATACCATTGAACCATTCCTAGGGTGACACAAGCTAGATGCACAATATTGCTAAGGTCACATCTAACATTTGCTATCACCTTAACAATTTAACATTCAGCAAGTTAATCCCAGAACATGCCAATTTCTAACAAGGAGAACAGGAGATAAGCACAGCAAGATAAGGGACGCACCTTGTAAGTATTAAATTAACCTATCTCAAAGTCAAATTGTAACCTAATGCCTAGACAAGGAAAGCAAAATTTGGAGTCATTAGCCTGATTTGGTGTTTTCACATTCAATTCTTTACAAAGCAAAATTACCTACAGAAGTTCGGGTAATAAAACATCTCTAAAAACAGATTTCATTAGAATCACACCTAAATGAACAACTGAACACCTATTGCCCATTCGACAGTACCAATATAACAGAGGCCTTAACCCTTAAGTCTCTTCTGTGATAGATATTGACACTAATGGTAATTATTGTATGATGGGCATTCAAACAGCATGTGACATATATTCAACTTTAAAGTACCTCTCCCCTAAAGATTCATGCACTAAGAGAGTACTATTAAAACCTATTCAACACACCAAACACTAACTACAACATTTTATCAGGTATTCTTTCTTCTTCATCAGATAATCCCCCAAAAGCACAAATCAAATCAACAATTTTTGCCGTTGATCAGCAGGTCCAAGCAATCATATTGGCTCCAAGCATCTCATAGTCTCTGAATAGATACTGCTACAAAAGCTCAATGTCTATGTCCTGTTACAATGTGTCAGCGTGTACGCTTATCAATGTTACCAGTCATTTTATATCTTTACAATCAAAAATAAAACCCTTTACTAAGTACTACCATAGAACAGCACTGTCTGACACTATAAAATTTCATTAGCCAGCTTTGACTACAACAGGTTAATTTGATTTCCAAAAAAAAGGAGCAGTCTAAACTCTAAAGAGTAACTATTCACTACATCATAGTTCACCAAACTATTCACACTATACCATATCTCAATAGTCATATCTACCTCATGATGCAACCATGATCAAACAAGATCAAAACATACACAACATTCTCTCCCGCCCGGCGATCCGAAGACAGAAAAATGATCTTCCATGCAATCCCAAATTCCTGTCACAACACTTGATAATCCCCTCTTAACACCAAATGCATAACAAATCACATTCATAAACATCAAATCACAAGAACCACACACATTTCCAATACTATAAATTAATATGTATACAATCATCACAATATAAACATAATAAACTATATAATAAATTTTGAAAAGGTATACCTGCAAAGGAGGAGTAGTGGTTTCAAACAAAAGGGCATCAGGAGGATCAGCAAGAACAGAAGATTTAGTCCAAAAACAGCTTAACCCACATTTACATTCATACAAATTCTCCAAATTATCAGGAATCCAAGTCCACCCTTTTACCAACACATTCACATGCTTCAATTTCAACTCTTTTCCACACCCAATTCCCCCTTCCAAATCACTAAATTGCAACGAATTTGAAACATTGGAGAAACCCCAATTCTCAAACTTTTCCCTAAATTTCGGGCAACCCACTTCAGAATCCCATTTTCTGAACGCACTCAACAAGTCGGTAAATGGGTCGGGTTTACTTGATTTGATTGATAAGTCATTAAGAGAAGAAGAAGCATAAGATGAAAATTGGAAGAATCCAGAAAAGAAGAGAAGGAAAAAGATTGAAATTGATAGCATAATTGTTATGGCAATTGGATTTAATAAAGGTTTCGAGCGCATGACGAACAAAAATTCTCCAGGTTTTCTCTCTCCTCCCTTACTTTTGAAGTTTGAGAAGAGAGAGAAAGCTTGTGTTTTCTGTAATGCTGAATTTTCAAGTTTTCTTCTGTCTCTGCTGCTGTTTTTCTTTTCTTTTTTTTTTCTTTTTTTTCTCTGTCTTCTATTTCTTTTACTCAATGGTCACTTGATTAGTAATTTGTACGTAGTAATTTGCAGAATTATTTGCGAAATGTCCGTTTAACATTCGGCCCAAACATTAGTATGAACTTATGGCTTATAGTCTTTTTTTTTTTTTTTTTGACATTTCAGTTGGACCTGGATTTAGCTACTTCCGTCCAAAGGTTGGCACAAACCGTGTGGTTGTGTCATGTAAGATCATGTATTAGATCAGCGTGTCTCGTGTTTAAGTGGTTTATGTCTAAAACAGAACAAGATATGTAGTGTCACGTAACACAAAAAAAGAAGTTTATGCACAGCTTGACACACGTGACGTGTCAATACTCAATAGGCCCCATGATGAATATTATAGTACAGTTATGGAAAAACGTCACTAATAAGTGTGTCGATTCGTCGAGCTCATCCCAAATTTGAAAGTGATGTCCATACATGTCTCATTCCTCATCGCCATGCCATCCAACTAAAGAAATGGCTATACTCTATAAAGCTCAACCCCTACTCTAAGATTTGTGTAAAAGCACAACTTGTAGTTTGCTCCATGCCAATAGACATGCATATATTGATAGATATCACTTCGATACCATAAATATTACTCGCTCGTAAATATCACCTTCTACTAGGGTGGTATATAGTCTAGGGTGGTAAATTATTATTTAAGCAATAAGCCTATATTATGGGTGAGGAATGGCTTCAAAGGACATAGTAGTACGTACGTATAGTATATGTGTGATGTGTCATATCGTCTAGATTAGGTCCCAACTCCCCTTTCTATGTTGATATGAATCATAAATAACTCAATTGCTTTGGTTGGTTTTAAATTTTATGGTAGTATTTGATTTGATGTAGTGCATGATATGAGGTTAAACCTATGCATTAGCAGCAGTTCACACATGAATTCATCAATTTGTTCGTCACAAATCAAACCTGAGTTTAAGTCATGATCATGCACATACTCCTAATGGGAATAATCCAAACGGATAACCGAAAATGTAGAGTTTTTTTACTAAAAAAAATAATTAATATTAGAATATTTTGAATCCGTCATTTACTTTTGAGCTTATATGGTATCTATTATGTAGGTCATAATCTTTTGAGACTATATTATCTCTACCCATTTTATAATCTGCTTTGGGAGTACTATATAAGCTCCATAGATTTTAACCTATTGCAATTTATCATGGTCAATAAAACTCTCCTCGCACTTGTCCATCATCGATGTGTAGTGGCTAACTCATTATTGCTTGTAAAATATGTGTTCTTATTTGTTGATTTTTTTTTTAATTTTTATTAGTGTAATAAATAGATTCCATATATATATATTTGACCAAGTATATCAAGTGAAAATTAAATTACACTCACAATTTAGTCTATTAATTAACTCTCATAACAACTAACATGCATAATTTAGTTTATAATTTTGAAAGAATTAAAACCCTCATATACGACGGAGTAACTACTTAGGCTCTGTTCACTTCACCTTACAAAAATAATATTAAGTAAAAATTATTTCAGTTCAGTAAAATTCAGTTTTCTTTAAGAATTATAATAGACAATCAGTATTAAAAAAATCAATGAAAATTGATTTAAGTTCAGCAAATATAATTTTATTTCAGTAAAAATAATTTCAATTCAACAAAAATAAGATAAAGTGAGCGGGGCCTTATTTCAACCGATCACTATGGGCCCTTAATTTGTGAAGTCATGCATACATGCCCATGCAAACACATGCGTATTCATTGAACTCTATCAATGATAGAAAGAAGCTAGATATGTAGTCAATTATCTCTTTACTATAGCTAGCAACTCTAAATCCTACAGTACTTCGTATTATCTAGCAGAGTACATCTTCTAGTAGAAGTACATACATACATATTCCAAACATAAATACCCACAATGTTTGGTGAAAACTAATTAAATTCCACTACCTTTCGCAACACCTTAGTAGCCTGGCTATAGCCATATACCGTATTCCCTTTGTCCCAAATATAATAGTTATATATATAGTCCCAATTTAGTAGTTTGATGAGGTCCAAAATTAGTAAACTAAAAGTGGTAGTACATCCCTCTTACTTGAAAATTTTTAGATTAATAGGACATCCAAAAAAGGATTACGGCACAATTCTAGCATGATAGAGGGAGTAAATATAGAACAAACTGTACATGTACAAGTCAATCAACGAAAGGTAAGTCGTTATGGATTTATTTCACAAGTATGGAAGGGCCCTGGGCCTGCCACTATACATGTGAAACCTGGGATAAATATTGAATCACCCACATCATATCCTCTCTATCTATCTCTAAATAAATCTCAGCTCCTTAATTACTTATATACATACTACCCTTCAATAATCTTCATGCACTGCACTTTTGCATGGCCATGAACATCTCCACGTTACTTCCATCTCCTGCCTTCTGCACCGGCCTTTTTATCTTAGCTTTCATATATATATAAATTACCACTATATATCTAACTAGTCATATACTACGTATATATATAACATATGATAACGTTTTATATACCTATCATTTAGGCACACTCCTCAAAACAATATAGTTTCTCTTATATAGTTTGTTTAAGAAATCCAAAATTTATTTGCTATTACTATGCCAAAAAGAGTAGAGGCAGAAGGGAGTTTAAGGGCACCAAAGGGACACTTTGTGGTGTACGTAGGAAACAAGATGACAAGATACATCGTGCCTACATACTTCTTAAGAAACGCGATTTTTCAACAGTTGTTAGAGAATTCCGCCGATGAGTATGGATTTGGTAGCCAAGAGAAGATTGTGCTTCCTTGTGACGAGTATACCTTCAATCGTATCATAGCCGCCTTGGATAAAAGGTCATGATCGATATACATCATACTCTTAGAGAACTAAAATCTTTAGTGCATGCTATCTAATCCAATTAACTAATAACTAAATTACATATAACATGCATGTATCTTTAGTTAATTAATAATATTAGCCGTTGTGTATGGGCTATGGCACGATAAAATAGTCGAACATATTGTTGAGCGTGTATGAAATATGATGATATATATGGTCCGATCCTATAGTATGTATTTCATGCTCATTTTTTTCCTTTGTCACATATATTTTATCACATAGAATGTGATCATGATTTTCTTTATACTTTTAATCACGTACATGCAATGGTAACAATAATACTGCTCAAGTGATGAGTGCACAATAACTTAAAACACATATATTATAAACCAAGACATCCATGCTGTGCATGTAATCCATTGCATTTCAATTATATATCAATTCAAGTATATATATTACGATCGAACAACTTTGTAATTTTGATTCTATTAATTTGTACATTATATTGAAATTTATCCAAAAAATATGACATGACATCTCTTTGTTTATTACAAGTAATTTGCATGCATGGTTATTTTTGCGTACAAAAGTCATAATGCTATACATATAATACTAGATAGGTTATGATAACATTATTTACGCTATGAGCGTTTTATGAAAATTTTAAAAGTCAAAAATAAAGTATGTGAAAATCAAAAGTTTTAAAATTTTACGTCTGTATCAAATGTGGATTATTTGGTGAATCCACTCTTAACTTAAGCAAGTTGGGGCATGTGCCTCCACACTATATGTTATACAGAGTTTGTTGTTACTCTATATATTTGCCATTCTCCGTACCTCAAAAATCATACCACACCAATTTATGTTCAATACTCTTATTAGTCTTATATCATATATATAGCAATGGATAATGAACTCCGAACTTCAACATTTCCATTATTCTTTGTCAAAAATATGCAATATAAGTAGTATTATATATTTACAAATAGTAAAGTTGGAAGCATGCATGTCCAATAAGAGTACCATGATCCAATAAGAGTAACATATAGCTTCTACCATATACTTAATGTATAATCAAAATTGAATTATGGTTATCATACTTTTATCACAAGTAGCTGGCCTAATGATTAGTGCATGCATTTTGAAACATCTTGATAACTAGCTACGAGTAGTTTATAAGAATAATTATAAATTAATTTTTCCCACACACAAACAAATTTACACCAAAAATTATCTGATTCTAAATTATGTAAAAATTAGACAGTTTATAAATATAGGCTAGTAAAGGGTGAAGCACGAAAACTTAAAGTGCGGAACACGCTCAAAAGTATATCGAGTTTAGTTTGGCGTAAGTTAACAGCAAAAATCATGCATGAATATGATTAAACAAACAGCTACAGACTACAGTCGAGATTTCATTTTCATTTTTAAATACATAATTAACATAATTATTACGACAATCATGCTCTTTTAGCTTATTGACCTACCAATATAATCAAGGTCACCTATTTTATTTTATTTATCAAGCTAAGCTAAGCTTTGAAGCAATCTTTTGTTATTGTGATTCACATGGTACTTTTTGCGCAACTAATTTTCCGGAATATCGTTATCTACAAATTAAAATATACCAATTGTCAACTTATTGCAATAGATTTCTTATGCTAAATTTTGATAAAAGATTCATTTTCTCTTAAAAATATTTGATTTGAATTTACTACGTATTTAAAAGATTTACTTATTATTTTCTCTGAAAAATATTTATTTGCATTTATTTGTGTCAATATTTATTTAAAGAATATAAAATAATTGATGTGTCACGTGAACCGTACGTATGACCGTATGGCTGCGGTGTACTGATATATGCCTCCAAGGGCCCATGGGCCATGGCCCAACTATTTAGCACTAAATTCCAAAATCTATATATTTGACTTTATTCTTTCATTATTTTCCTTTTTTTTTCTGGTGAAAACTTAAGATGGACTCCAGTACTCCACAGT